ATTTTATAGTTTTAATGTATGAGAGTGATTCTTGTATTCTTTAGTTCTTCAATGAACTAAATTTGATTATCAAAGATTAACTGGCTTAATGACATCATTTTACTTTATTCCAATAATGTTGGTGTATTGGGGCAGATTTCTATTATGTCACACTCCTATTAGACCTATTTAAGTTTTTCAGGATCATAGTGGTTTGTATGACCATATAATCATGAGGTTCGCATCAGTTGGTGTATCAGAGTTAGGCTCTAAAACAAGGCCATATCTTTTTGTTTTTCTCATTTTCTTATTATTCCTTTTAAGTTTTTTTAGTTTTTACGTTGTTCATCTTCTTGTTTTTTATGTTTGCAACATCTAAGAAAAAAAAAATCGAGTTATATTTCATCTTGTTACTATTTCTAATCATATCAGTAGCATAAAAAAAGAGATCAGATGAAATTTGAAGGTTGATTCAATTCTACCGTAAAAATACAACTCTTAATGAATTCTAAAGAAACCACCTCGGAACCAAATGAAACTTCATATTTTGTCTAACAAGGGTAATATTACACCATATATTAAATTTTGACTTATTTTGATATCATTTGCTTGAGTTTTTAATTTGAGATTCAATTCTGTCGTAGAAACACAACTCCTAGTGAACCCTAAGCAACCTACCTCATAACCAATTGAAACTTTATATTCTATCTATTGGGGGTAAGATTGCACCATATATTAAATTTGGGCTTATTTTGATATTTTTCACTTAAGGTTTAAATTTGACATTTAATTCTATTGTAGAAACATAACTCTTAGTGAACCATAAGCAAACCACCTTTTAATATTGTCTCTAATGGAGGTGAGATTGTATTATATATTAAATTTAGGCTTATTTTGATATTATTTACTTGAGGTTTTGATTCGAGGTTCAACTCTACCACAAACTGATCATGCAAGGGATTTGAGTACCTAGACATAAGATAATGACCTATAAACTGAGATTTGTTATTTTTTTAGTGTCATCATAATAAATATTGAATTTGAGGTTATTCCAATATCGTTTGATCTAAGTTTCAATTTTGGTGCATAAAAATTACGTAACAGGTTAAATTCGTGTCAAGTTCTAGAACGTGATCCTTACTATTTGTTTTTGTCCAAATATTTTTGTTTCTATTATAATTGGGTTATTTAGTATTCAAGTAATTGTTCTCACTTTTTTTGTCCAAATATTTTTGTTTCTATTATAATTGGGTTATTTAGTATTCAAGTAATTGTCCTCACTAATTTTTGCTTCCTTTTTATTTCATGTCTTTGTTTTGTCCATAATTTATACAAATTTGCATTGCTACTCGTAAAATCATAATCATAGTTTTGTTTTGCTTTATTTTTAGTATATTTATTATTTCTTGAGTTTGAAAATTATAATTCGATTGCGTTTTAAAGGCTATTGACTTTGATTTGTTAATTTCAGTTCCTAAAAAACCAAAAGAAAGCAAGTTGTGAGGTAAAAGGCGTAGTGAGCTTATTAGAGTGAAAAATCTTTATTTTTTTTTTTATGAAGCAGGAGAGGTGTGAGGATATATTTTGTTACTAACAAAATTTTACAGATTCAAAGAAAGTCTGAAAACAACAACTCAATGACATAAAACATTGGCATCACTTTCCATGTACAAGCCATGGGCCAATAACTTGAGCTCTTATCTAAGACATATAAAGATCTAAAAGATGAGGTGAATTTGATAAAGCAACAAAACAGTAGGGCTGATCATCAAGAAAATATGATTCGAAGAGCCGTGTAAAATACCAGATCTTATTTTGAAGAGTTTGTTGATGGAAATGCAGATGTGCGTGAAAATGACTATGATTTTGCATTTGTTACCCAAAAAACCAATTCTAGACTGAATGGGCTAGGAGGAATGTGAATTTTCATGGTATGAGGAACTATGAAGACATGGACGAGGACTTGGACTTCATTAAACCTAAAATTCATAACTTTCAAGGTAAAAATAATCTTAAGGCTTATTTAGAGTGGGAGAAAAAGGTAGATTGAACTTTTTATTACCATAGATATTCCAAACACAAAAAAGTGAAATTGATGGTCATTGATTTTATGAAGTATGCATTAATTTGGTGGGATCAGATTGTAATCAATAAGAGAAGGAATGAAGAACGACCTATTTAGACTTTTCATCTTAATAAGAAGATGATTTGTGTCAAACCACTATTATAGAGACTTATATCTAAAGCTACAAACTAAATGTTTTACTCAATTCATGCATATAAAATAAATGCTAAATAGCTCAGTATGGAAGAATCTAAGATTAAATTCTTATTTATTTTACATGGAACACATCTCTCTAAAGATATATGTTCTAAGACATAAATTGAGAGAGATGTAATGGAAATGGTATCCTATCCTTGGCTATAAGATCCATAAATGGAGAAAATAAACTAAAAGTTCAAAATTGTTTGGATTAAATTTTTTTTCAATGAAATATTAGAGAAATAACAAATATCATCAATCAATATATATTTTACTTTAAATGGTAGTGCTTTAAGTTAGAAGAGTTCTAAACAAGAGAAAACAACTGATTCTACAACTAAATAAGAATGCATATCCACGTTTAAAGAAACAAAGAGGTTAGTTGGATCAAAAAGTTTATTAATGAACTTGGTTGGTTCTTAGCATTGTTGATCCAGTTGCCCTGAACTATGATAACAATAAAAACAGGAACCAAGGTCTCATCAATGATCCAAATAAGTACTTAGAAATTTCATTTTATTTGATAAATCAATAAAATGAAAGATATAAAAATAGAGTGAGTACCTACTAGAGAGAATCTAGAAGATCCTTTACTAAGTCATTATCCAGGCAGAAGCATTAATGCTATATAAAGCAATATGGTATTAGATACATGAACGCTTAACTTTAGTGCAAGTGAAAAATTATTAATTTAATATGTCATATACTCAATCAATTAGTTACACGCGACATTATTATATTCATGTAAATACATATTAATTATTAATGAATGTTAATTTATCTTTAATATTCATATAATATTATATTTATTAATCTCAAGTAAAAATAAAGTCCAAATGACAAAAATATTTTGCAAAGAAAATTATAAAGTTGTTATAATTATGGGATTTCTATAGCATCAAAGCATTGTTTCTAAAATATTTTTGGTCGATACTCTGTTAAATACTAAGCATTCATTAGAGCTGTAAAGACTTGTACATATTAAGTTCTTTCCTTTATGAAAGGAAGTAATTGTTCTCATAAGTCGAGATGTAATGGACACCTAGAACTAAAACATAGGTGTTTATCATAAGATATGTACACTGAACTGACATGTATGAGAATTTTATATGAAGAGATCATTTATATTTATGGAAAGACTCATAGGATGGTTGTGTAAGGGATTCTTAGACTTGAGATCCCTAACTCATCTTATATAAAGAATGATATGTTTTGATCTTGTTACATATTATCTTAATTGAGGTAATAAAAGGAAAGATATTTGGTATAATGTGAACTATATAAAGATAATTAAGTGATCAAGAAAAAATTCATCACTATAGGTGAATTAGAAAAAATATTCTATCTATTTTTAAACAGTATTGATTCAAAAATCTTTGGTTAAAGTGGAATGAGATTTGGAAAGAGTTTTAAATCTTATTCACATAATCAATGACTATTATGTAGAGAATAAACATAATTTAATATGGCAGACATACTCCATACTTTAATGTTAAATCAAAACATTATTGATAAAAGGATATTAATTACACTGAGAAATTGATCACTGGAAGGTTAAATCAAATCACTAATAACTTTTTTAATATTTAAAGGATTATGACATATTATTAGATGATGCACTTGATCTTCAAATACAATTTAATCAATATTTAATTGATAATAAATTAAATTGTTTAATTTATTTAATTAAAATTTATATTTGGATTAACATATTAGAAACCTGATAAGTTATATATGTTAAGAATCATTAGTCAGAAATTAAATTAGAATGATTTAATTAAGTATGACTTTATTAAATATATATTTTAGAACTTAAGAACTAGAATATAATTAATACAATGATTATATTTTTAAATCTGAAAAAATCAAATAAAGACTTATTTGAGTTAATTTTTAAAATTATCCTGAATATATATATATATAAGGAGAAAATTGATATTTTTTTAATCTATAAATTTTTTTAGATTTTTTATTAAATAATAAGTTATTCTTTTAATTTTACCAGGGGATGGTGGAATGAAATCTATACCATTCTCTTTAGTTTCATAGAATGAAAATTTCTTATCCTAGCACTTTGCATGTTAAGCTGAAGGAACTCCCTGCCCATTCGTTAACCAGCCCGCCCACGGCATCTTCATACGGGCAATTAACTAGATAACTTCGTTAACCAGCCCGCATCTTCATACGGGCAATTAACTAGATAAAAATATAGACAGACACCTTCTCTTTCCTGTCTCAATAAAATATGACAATGGGTTTCATGGCATGGTATATATTACAGAAAAAAGAAAGAAAAAACCATCAAATGATAATGTTCTCAGATGACCGAGACTTTGAGGAAGCTTTGTAAGATTAGAAGGCTGAATGGAGTATAATTTGAAAGTCTATATAGAACTCAGATACTCGTTTTCTTGTTTGAGATGGACCGAGAGTCAAATGTGCTGAACTGCTGATGCATGATTTTCCAGTTTAAGAGTGATTTTAGATCAATTATTATTTTTTATTTTTTTCTAATTTGTAGGTTAAAAACTAGGTTTAGGAATAGCATTTAAAGCAACGTCTGTCTTACTTGTGATTGATGATCGGTATAGAATTGATGGTCTATTATTTGGTTAAACCCTGTAATCCATTGTTTAACCTAATTCCATGCTTTGATAATCATAATATTTTCATATTCAATATGGACAAAGCTTGCTCTGGAATTCTAACAGCGGCTAACTCATTCTTATCCTGAAGAAATTTAATCAACAACAGAGTATGAGACCAGCAGCACTCAAAGCACAAGATAATACCATTACTCGAACGCCATGCCATGTTCCGTGTTCTTAGCTACCGAGATGTTACAAAGAATCCAACAGAAAATGCACCCACCACGAATATGACTAAGGCAAATTAACTCACCAGTATACTCGGGGAAAAAGATAGAAGACTTGTTAATGAAGGTCCGAGTTTTTTCTTGAATCCTGATCTACGCCTAGGGGCCCAAGGAGAATAAAACTGGAGACATTCCTAACATTTGGTTGCTATTCTTGTACATGGACAGCAATAACCTCTACTGTATCATTACAGGCGAATGTCCCCTCTACAATGTTTTGACTGGTTGAGAAACATTGGCTTGTGAAGCTAGAACCGCCATGGCTCCATCTGAGTTATGTTGCTGCTGCTGTGTTGTTTCCAAGGCAGAAGCAGCAACCCTTTGGGCATTGGCTGTGGAGGGATCTACGCTAGCTTCCTTCTGGTCATTAGCTGCTGAGTCATTTGCAGCATGAAGCTGTAGCAACCTATAATCAGTTTCAGGCCTCCGACAAATCTTCCTCAGTGGCACAATTTCCTGAGGAACACAAGATTGACAACTATATAAACATCATAGATTCCAAGGTGCATTGTACATCAGAAACAGGAAAGATGAATTTCAAGATTGAAAAGAAAGAAATGTAAATATACCTCTGATTGGTCATGATCGTAACGCACCAAAAACCTACAACGGCAACCTCTTACATCATGCCTTCTTCTTTGGGCATCAAGAACATGAGCATCAAAATACAGAGCCTGATCTTTGCCTTCCTGAAAATTTAAGAGCATTTAAGAAAGATGTTCTTAATAGTTTCACCAAAAATTGGATTAATTGATCATTTGTTTTCATTCATAAGTAGATGTTCCCACTTGAAAACAGAGTATGAGATCTCCAGGAAGAACTGCAACACATTCAGATGCTTCACAAGGGAGAGACCGCTGCCTGACCTGCCTGCAAACATTAAGCCACTCATCTTCATCCGGTCCAAAACCAGCAAACCGAACCAATACTTCCTGAAATGGCCAGAAACAGAAGAGCATGAGATAGTGAAAGAAGATTGGCAGAGTAACCAAAAGAAAGGGCACAGTTGTTCCCATGTAGCAAACCGCTAAGAAAACTCAAATTTGATAAAATATTTAACAAAATTAACGGAAGTTATTGAATTCTCTTAGGGTATAGGATCATAAGAAAGATTCATAGCAATCCTAGCATAGATATTCATGGGCCATCAAGCCAAATATTAGGGTTGGCAAAAAATTAAATGTGATTATTCCTTCTCAGCCCTAGGGACAATGTTGAAACTTAGTGTCTACGACATGAAATCAAATCTTTTAACACAATTAACAATTAGTAATGGAATACAGATTGATTCATGTATACTTCTCTCTAGACCACCTCACAGAATTTTATTGAGAGAAAGAAAATGGAAAATAATTATCCAGTTGATGATTAAAAGATGCAACGGATGTATGGATAAAAAAAAAAAAAAAAAACAACAAAAACACAAGTCTCAGCAGGCAACAATAATACATCCAGAGTTCGTTCATGTTAATCATTGCATTACTATATGCAGGAAAAATGAGTTCATATGTTACCGGATCCCCCTTGTCCAAATATCTATGGGATAGGAAGGTTCCTACATCATACCTGGCAAAGCAAAATTGAAGTGAATCAAGCAATCCCTCAACCAAGGAAGGAAAATATTAAGTATCAAATAGAACATGAAACATTAAAATCTCTACCACTTGAATTGTCAATTGCAAAAGCATTAAATTCTCACCATGCACCATCTCTAGCAGATTTGGCTTCAAATTCCATGTAAGAATTTTCTGAAGTTGCCCTTCCAGCACCAGCTGCTGTTAAAAAATGATGGCCAAATAAATTTACAAAATGATTACTAAATTTAGGCATTTAACAAAAATGACTTCCACAACATCTAGAGGCATCAACAACAGGTTCATATTTTCTTCAGCTAATATAGAGATACAGTTTAATGACGCTTCTCAATGACTAATCAGGATAGCAGGTAGACATGAGGAAATGCAAGGAAACTAAAATTTATTATTTGAAAATGTTTATGACACAGTACTTAGTCTTTAACATCTTTTTTTCTCTAGAACAGGCAAAGAAAAGAGCAATAAAACTTTTAACAGTTAAGATGCAATTATGTACACTCGAGAAAAAGAAACTGGAGTTTATCCTATCCAATTTTCCAATATCAACTGTACTGCATAAACCCCATGTTCCGTCTCTTTTGGGTGCATTATGGCAATACCTCATAGGTACTGAAAAATGACAGAAACTAACCCAAAAGTATGACATATGATACAACCTCCTCTCCAACCATATCCTTAACCACCTGAAAAGCCCCAATGATTACAAGCCACCTTGAACTATAAGAATTTAATGATTTCACAATGAATCTTAGGATTCTATATAAAAACACCCCTTATTTTAAACGAGAAATTAAAAAATTGAATAAAATATCTGATTTTTCTTTTTAATCTAGATTTGGAACGTTTTTAATTAGTCCTTTCTTCTCTTTCATTTTCATACCTTTAGACAAATCTAGAAACTAAGAGGGGAGTTGGGAACTGAAGAAGATAGAAGATGAGAGAAGAGATTGAGAGGCATGAAAGAAGAAAGACACAGAGCAAAAGAGAAATTAGAGAATTAAAAATTCCAAACTAGATAATAAGAAATTATCTCCAAGAGAAAGCTATAAAGGATTTTGATGGAAAATGACTCAAATTTATCCAATTTTTTTGTAAGGAAAAGGAACATGCAGCCACACAGCTAATTCCTTTAAAATCAACGTAGGTTGTGTAATGTTCACACAGCAAGCTCTGTCACTTTACTCCAACAATGATTTTGAAATTGGGAGAAAGTAAAGAGCATCATAGAGAAGGATAATTTCACAGGGATGTATACTTTGAAGGCTGCATGCCCACCCTCCACTGCTCACACTATGAGCAATCTAAGCATTAGTCACCACACATGCAACACAATAACATTTCCAGTTCAGCTGGAAAAATATAACATAGCATTTGATAGGTTTGAATTTTATTTTTCTAAGTTTTGGGTTTGGCAGAGATATTTGTTTTATGGGAAATAGGGGGGTTTAAAATTTTAATGACTCGTGTCTCCAGTTTTTACTAAAAGCACTAAACAAACATCAGACATGAGGAGGGAAAACAAGATGGGTCAATAAGTAATTATTTAAACTCAATGATCTCTGCTGTTTTCAAGTACATGCACATGAAGATTTAGTGCAACTAACCCTCTAGTATTTGATTGCTAGAAAACAAGAAATATGAGGGTAAAGAAAGAATTTTATTACAGGAAGAAACCAAAAGAATAAGGAAAATGAATATCAAGTAATAAGAATTATGATGCAGAGCAGTTGTTGATAAATAAGCTACAGGAAGACCCTGCTTGCAGCATAAGCAGCATGGAGCATGGTAAAGTACCTAAAAACAATCATGAGTAAACCCATTTCAAACAGACATATATAGTGTTAGTAAATATAAACTGATATACGCTAACACAGGCACATGGGCTGTGCGCATGCCTAAGCATATGCTTGTGTGAAATGCATAATCATACACAATACCCATCAACAGCAGTGAAATCATAGATGGAAACACTCAAATCATAGTACATTAAGAGAACAATTAATCAATCCTGGTTGCACCTTCACTTCCAAGTCCAGAAGTGCCAAAGAAATAATCTAAAAGGTAAGCACACTACTCAAGGAGAATGTCCTCAACACTTCAGAATTCATTCTACCTGAGGAAGCAGGTGTAGTTGCAGGGACAGCAACAGGTATAGGAGCAGCTACTTGTTGAGGTAGACCCCTAGCTGCAACTAAATCGTCGCGAGGCATAGGTGTTATATTTAACTTCATTGGGGTCTTATTTGATTTTGCCCTTATTGCATACCTTCTGTTTTGGAACCAATTCCACACCTATAAATAGCATTCCAATCAAGAGATGAGTGTTGACTGAATCCCAATCGTACGGGAAAGAAATGCACTCAATGCATCTTACTTGTTTCATTTGCACTTGAATGTTCCCTTTTCGATCTGGGGACTCACTAAAAGGAGAGATAAATACCTCATAATTTTAATGCCCACAACATAACGAGAAAAGGTTAAATATCGCAAGCTCTTGGAAGAAAACAAACACACCTGAACTTCTCTGCAAGAGATACAAGAACCTCACGAGCTGGCATCGTGTTATTATGCTCTTGCAAAATAGCTTCCATCTCCGTAACCTTGACAACAGAGGGTAAAGCGCAGAACACTACTCAAAAACTTAAAATCATAAACATAAAATATATCATAAACATAAAATATACTGCCACAAAATAGAAAAAGGTTTTATAAGTTCAATTCATCTCCTAAAAAGAAAAGGAAGAAACAATAAAAGGAAAGGAAGTATTTTTTTTTTCGCAGCCTAGAATATCGTTTCTGAAGCCTAAAGTTCCAAAACAAGATAAATCCCAATGAAGCACATTTGAATTTATTTTAGTGGAGAAAAAAATCATTATTTTATCTCTAATCAATTTATGACCTTCTTAGAAGCATTGACGTCACAGAAATTTTATGATAAAAAAGGTCCAGACTTACAACAACAAAAATTAGACTAAACACAAATGGCATCAGATACAAAATTCAGAAAAAGAAAACATCATATCATATATCGTAATAAAAACAAGGCAAATAATTGAAACCCAGAAAAATCAAGCACGTAAATCCGGAAACAAAACCAGCCCACTTCATATTCCCAACTTTGAATCCAACCCATATCCAAAAAAAACCAAAATTGTTAATGACAGAAAAGATGGCATACCTCATTTTGCATGAAGCGAAAGGAAGGACCGCCATTACTGGGAGGGCGACCCATCACTTCACTCTACTACTACTCTCTTCTTTCGCAACCAACAATTCAATTTCGAAGCAGACAAACCGCTTTTTTAACAATCAAAAACTTCAGTTTGTTTGTTACGGTAAATGTTTGCTGAGACTTCTTTTCCTTTCTTCTTTTTTTTTTTTTTTAAGGAGAACTAAAACAAAGGGCAAGTCAAAGCAAAATCTCGCAAAAGAAAAAGAAAAGGCTTATACGGGGAAAGAGAGGGATGTGATTGAGGCGTGTTTTGGATTTGGGCCTCGTTAACGTCGCTCAAAAGGATAACGTAATTTAAAAATTTAAAAATCTTACAGTAGTGATGCTTTTTAATATATATTAAAAAAATATATTTTTATTTAAAAAAAAAATATTTTTGATATAGAACTTAAAAAAATCCAGCATATAAAAACATTTAATTTTAAATAAAAAAATCAAATCATTAGAAAATTCAATTTCAAATGTTACTCCCGCACATTGTTTTATTATTTGTTTGAGATAGTATTGTAACTGAAGTTTTTAAAAAAAATTGAATTTTTTTAAATTAATTTTTTATGTTTTTTAATTATTTTGCTATATTGATGTTAAAATATATTTTAAAAAATAAAAAATATTATTTTAATATATTTTTAAGCTAAGAACTTTGAAAATCAACTATTATTATTATTTTTAACATCTTATTAATAGTTAAGTGGTCCGAGCTTCATGGTGAATTAGTTAAATTTTATTTAACAAAAAAAAATATACAAGTGTTTACAATAAGTTTTTTTAACAACAAAGAAGATTAAAAAATCTTAAACATATATTTAATTAAATAAATTAAAAATTATTTTTAACTACGTAAGCAAAAAAAAAGTCATTGATTATAATTAAAAACTAAATTGTAAAATTAAAATAATTTTATTTTTTAAAATAATTTTTTTATCAATTCCTATAATAATAATAAAAAACACGTACAACAATATAGTCAAATTAACCTTTTCAATTCCTATAACAATAATAAAAAAACTCGTACAACAATATAGTCAAATTAACCTTTTTCTTAATGCCCAAAAAAACATCCAAGAATCTTATGTGCTCTCTAAGAGAAAGAAAACAAGCATGAATTCAAAATCTAACATATATTGGATAGCAATATTTTTTATAAAAGCATTTAAAGTGCATTATATTAGATTTATTTAGATAAATTCAAGTTAATTATTAAAATACACAAATTAGGTTATAAAATTATCATAATCCTATAAAAAAAACTAAAATAAATTATGAAATTTAATTGTTAATTAATTTAATATTAAAAAAATTAAAAATTAAAATATTTATTAAAAAAATGAAATAATACGATCAACCGTTCAAATTCATGTTATAGCTTAAAGTATGTTTAGATAGTTTTTGTATTTATAATTTGAAAAAAATAAGTTTTAGAGAGTATTTATTTATAAGATTGTGCATGCATTTTAGACAAACTACAGTAAATAATAGTTTGGTAACCATAATTTTTTTACGTTTACACCACAAGTTCATAAAAAGCACCACCAACGTGCTTTTTAAAACCTTGTCTCCTGTGCAGACTCGTTAATTTATAGACTTCTCAAATTACTCCATCCTCTCTCCAGCTATATTTATTTCCCTGTCTCCCTCTGATTGCTGGTATGTCATGGCATTTACTAAAAATTGGTCTTTGAATTCATGAAATTACACCAAGCTAATTAATTATTAATTAACATATGTAATGAAAATTTTTAGTATTTGATATTGTTGGTTATTGAATTACTTCTGCTCTGTTTATAATGTGAATGGCCTAATCCAAATTATTTGAGGAATTACTAAAAAAAAAATATTTTTTTTTATAATATATAAAGGGATATAATTCATATGAAATATGATAAGTTTTCATTAGTAAAAAGATATAATTTTTTTTTATCTTAATTCTTTGCATTGACTTGATAAGATTTACAAAAATGTTATACTATGAAATATTATTTTAGTTCTAGTAATTAAAATGACACTGAAGTAATTGATCTAAAAATTAAAAAATAAAATCTTACAAGTTTTTCTTTTCAATCTACAAATATAAAATTTTAGGTATTATTAAACATCAAGCAATTTATAATTTATTTAAATTAAAAAGATATATAAAATACTTTCTAATTTATACCCAAACTTGAGATAAAAGCTTTATATACACATCCATCCCGATTAACAAATCTTAGAACTATTTAGCTAAAATTTGAAATTAACATTTTAAGTTTTAAAGAATGGTAATACAACATTACAACACATTCTATCTTACAACACATTCTATCTTATATTACAAAATATATCTCAATCTTTGTAAATTAATCACATTATATTTTTAGTTTATCTTATGATAATGTATCTTTAAATACAAGTCAAATTAATATATAAATTAGTTATTTTTTATGATAATTTATCATGTATTATTAACTTCAACCACGCTTTTAAACAAACAGTTATAATTTATTATTTCTTGATAAGCATTTTCAACCACAGTTTTAACCAAATATTTATTTAAATCAAACACACCACAATAAAAAATGGTTAAAAACAAAACTTCTTTTAAACCTCAACCACAAAAGCTATCACAAAAACAAAAGTATTGTTAGCCCTTGTTAGTTGAATTTAAATACGTGTTTGGTAAAAATTATGGTTGAAATTTATGTGTATCAAAATATATATATATATATATATATAATGTTTGATAGTTGTATTTGAAAATATGATTGCAGTTATTTTTTAAATTATTTTTTATTTTTAAATGAATTAAAACAATTATTTTTAAATTATTGATGATATCAGTGCATCAAAATAAAATGAAAACATTAAAAAAATATTAATTTGGACTCGAAAAAATTTTATTTTTTTAAATATTTTTAAAATACAAAAACAAACAAGATTTTAAATTTTTTTTATGAAATTCAATTAAAAAATATATAAAAACTACTATATAAGAATTATATTTTAAACTTAATTTTTTAATGAATCTCATAATATAAAACATAATTTAATTTATTATTAAATACTTTAATGCGTTTATTTCATCAGGAAAAAAAATAAAAAAGCTTGCAGAAAACGCAGCCTTTGTCAATACTCAGTGCACAGTCAGTTTAGATTTTTCTGATTCTGACAAGCCGACAATAGTTCTATATAATACAAAGATAATGGTAACAAAAAGCCAATAAGTTGAAACACTCTATTTCTGCATTGTTATAATCAGTTTAATTTATCCTTATAATTATGAATTATCGCTCATAGTTAAAAGTCAATTTTCATAAGTCATCCTAAATAAACTTTTAGGACCAATGAAAAGTGAGTTTTCAAAAGTTGTTTTTCATAAACAACTCATGATAAAAAATAAATTAAAATAAATTTAAGTAATAAAAATAAATTTAAAAATTAAACTTTTGATTACATTAAAATTTAAATTTATTATATTTGAGATTGTAGTTTAGTAGGGATAAAGATTTGCATTCGAGTTCGATCTTGTTTTTGCATATTTATCATTAATGCAATACCTTACCTGTTTATTAAACTTGTAAGGTATTTAGTAGATTTGAGAATTAGTTATAATACACGTAAATTTATCCAAATATTTAAATTTTTAAAAAAAATCATGATTTATTTTTTAAACAAACTTTCCAGGTCAAAAATTACTTTCAATCAAATATATTAATAATTTTATGTAATCTGAATTTGTTGCAAAAGAATTTCGTAGGGTGTGAGGAATAGAATCGCTAGGGATGATGATTTGGAAAAAAAGAAATTATAATTTGGATTTTTCTGATTTTTTCTTTCAAATTCTATAACTCAAATTTTATTAAGTAATTGGATTAAAAGAATATACCTAAGGACTTTATACAATAGTAAGCTTTAAACAAATACTTATATATTGATTAAAGGATTAAAAAAACAAGAATTCCAGGCAATTTACGGCACCCAAGACTTTGTTCGCTTAACCCCATATTTCTTGAAATTTACTTTAAAGAATTACTGGAATTCTCTGTTCTCTGAAGATTTTCAAAAAAAATTACCAGAATTAATTAAGAAAATTCAGAATTTCTTGGATAGTGTTAAACCCAATACATCCTCCTCAATTTATTGAACGTTTTGATGTGTGAAATATCATCATAACTTATTTGTTCACAATGAGTTCAACTAAAATTCATCCATTACTTAGCAAAAAAACAAGAGGATGGTACTTGTGGCATATTTGTGCTTTATTTTATACAGGAAAACACACCTGAAGCTTCCCATGTTCCTAGAGCAGGGTAGACAGGCATGGTGTGCATTGTGAGTCGAAAACATTTAGAGAGTGTGTTTGAAAGAATGATGGTTTTTGTGATTGTGATTGGTAAAATGTAATTTTTTGAAAATTATTTTTTTGTGTGATTCTTTTAAATAATATTTGTTTTGTTATTATTGTGATTAAAATTAAAATTATTTAAAAAGCACTTGATATGTGTTTGGTTAAGTTGTTTTTGTAAGTGTTTTTATTGGTAAAATTACCTAGAAAGACATGTGTGAATTTGGTTGTAAATCTTTTTAAAAAATTCTTAATGATTCATAAAAAAAATTATGAATGTTATATTATTATTGTCCTCCATTCATCCCATTAAACTATTTGCAATACCACCACGCACATAATTCATTTGAAAAGGCCTATGGTTCCCTTGACTTTGAGAACATGATACAACATCAGCTAAAAAATCATCAAGAATAAAATGAGGATTGCAATCAGATTCTATAAATGCAATATCTTCTTGTGACTTCCTTCTTATATAGTTATGCAGTGTCATTGATGCCACTACAATTTTCACTTATGATTTGTACGGATATGTCAGCATGTTCTGTAAAATTCTTCATCATTGTTTTCACACCCCAAATGCATGTTCAATGACATTGCAAAGTGATGAATATACACGATTGAATCACTCTTCCCTGCTTGTTGGTTCCCCTCGATGTTGAAACTCTTGGAAGTAATACCTCTTACCTTTATATGGACCAAGATAACCATGCTCATTTGAGTACCAAGCATCAACCAAATAATATTTACCTAAAATAACGATAGAGAAAATTATATTAAATGTAATAAAAAAATACATAATAAACATATGTAAAATATAAATATGTTTGAATCTAATTATTGTTTTATATGTACCTTCAGGAAGTTTTGGGAATTTTATTTGTGGATTGTCAATAGCCTCCAAAACAATACGAGTATCATGAGTGCTACCTTCCCATCCTGCCTAAACAAACGTGAATTGCATATCAAAACTACATGTTGTCATTACATTTTGTGTCGACACACCTTTTCTACCGATAAATGACACTTGATTTTCTTATGAAACAGAAGCACGCACATGTGTCCCGTCGATCGCTCCAATGCAATTCTACAAAACAAAACAATAACCAGCATTTCATAAGCAATTAAAGATTAATAATACATTATTAATATTAATCTCTATAATTTCTATAAAAATTGTCTGTCTGACCTTAAAATGAGGCATAAATCTAGGATTCATTGCAATTTCATGCTGGGTGTTAACAAATTCTAAGTCCTCGGGTTTTATTAAATCTACCGCAAACAAACAAATTGTCTTCGGGTCTGTTTGTTTCTGCGTTTTAAAAGTGCTTTTGAAAAAAATTGAATTTTTATTTTATTTTTTTATTAACTTTAAATTAATGTGTTTTTAGTGTTTTTAAATCATTTTGATGTGCTGATGTCAAAAATAATTTTTTAAAAATAAAAAAACATCGTTGGCATGCATTTTAACACGAAAAGTTATTTGAAAAGCAACAGTAACCACACTTTCAAACAGGCTCTTCAACATTTTATTAAAATAACGACTCACGATTTCACCTAAGTGTTGAAATATTTCCTGGACTTGCCTATTTGTTGCACCTAATGCAATAATGTACAAAAACATTGCCACCTTCTCAATAACACTCATCCTTCTCGATGGTTTCAAGTCATATTATGTTTCCAAGTCATAACAAAGATTTTATAACGTCGTTGCATCCATTCTAAACATGTTAAAACATCATTTCCAGTGTCCTCGAACGACTTTAATCAACCATCTCATCCCTGTGTTATATGAAATCATATAAGGTTTCTTATACACATATGTAACATTGTACATATGTAAAGCACCAGCGGTACATAACAATAATTTGTCATGATCAAACTCTCGTTGCCAAAATGATTCATCCTCATCGTCAGTATTATCTGAATCCTCATTTCATCACTATCATTATCATCATCATCATTAGTTTTGTTTGAATCATCCCCATCATCACCATCATCATTCACCCCTTCATTACCACAACCATTTTCATTTTGGCAGCTCCATCACTACCACCGACAGTACTATAATTAATATGATCAATTACATGATTCATCACTATCTCATAATTGTCATTATAGTTAACACCAAGCAAAGCAATACCCCATTCATCTACCATATCTACCTACACAAATTCAATTGCAAAATTTGTGTTTATTTTAAGTCATATTAAAAACAAAGATTCCATCACTTGTTGTATTTAAATTGATAGCACTACACTTTGAAAAATATGGAAAAAAAATAATATCATGTTATAGATTAATAACATGACTTTTAGCCATAACTTATATAAATAAAGAAAACATCAATACAAGAATGTTATGCTGCATAACATTGAAATTCATAGATGGAACAAACAAGCATGAAAACAATAGTGTGAGGATAAACTTTAATAAATAATTGCATACGAACCACATCACTTTTTGGTCTTGTATTGAAAGACCAATGAACTTTATTGACGTTAAATTAGCAACAAATCAGTCTAGAACGCAAAAAATTAGATTGAAGATAAACAACTTACAAATACAGCTTTTATTGCAGGAACTCCCAAGATCCAAAGTATAATTACTATAGTGTATTAAACGAGGTAGAATAATATTTGTAAATGTGAAATAACAGCATGCATTATATATAGGAAGCAATATATCTCATTGTTAAAACTTTTATAATTTTAAATAATACACATATTGAGCAACATTGAAGAATATCCATGACTATAGTTTTGGTAAGCTTTTACAAATTAAGAATCTTATTGCTTTTCTTTTTTAGGTGCCTGTACTCACACACTGTTTCAATAATACAGTTTTACATATACATATGACACGACTAAAAGATTGATGTCTTCTCCCAAGTGCAGGAGTGTCGAAGTAAAAAATAACCCGGCAAGACCGGGGTCGAACCACAAGGAGGTTATTTGTACAAATTATAAATAACAATAATACAACAACAATAACAATAACAATAACAACAACAATAATAATAATAATAACAATAATAATAATAATAACAACAGTAGTAATACTAATAATAATAGTAATAAGTGTTATATAACATAAATCAAGATTAGTCATTTAACAAGCAAAGTATTAAAGAGTGAACAAGATAGCAAATATAAAACATGTTAGTATCAAACATTAAAGTCCATATTAAGTTTACATTATACTTATTCTTACACCATTAGTGTAACCTTTTCACCTTGACATAATTAACTTAGCTAGACATAATGAAAGAAAGCAAAATAGATAAACAAAATAAGAACATAAAAGTTAACTAAGTAAAGGAAAGGAAATGAAAGGCATAAACTTAATATTAATGAAAACAAAGCATAAAAAATACAAAGAGAGAAAGGAAGAGCATGATCTTGATCTGGAAATCAAGATGCCTAAATGCATGGCAAATGCCTCCTTTTATAGGCCAAAAATGGGAACTATTGATTTGATGACTAATTGATAAGTGGGTGACCAACTTTTGACTTGGTGACAATCCTTATCTTCTCTTGTCTGCCCAAAACGTCATTGATAACGTCAAAATTGGAGCCAGTTGTAAACATGAAAGTTGTAGGCAATTGTCTCAGCTTTCTTGTGTAAAAATTTCAGCTCATTTGGACTTCTAGAACTCCAGATATGGCCAAAATACCGAACAGTGCTCGGGCTGGAAGACAGATTCGGGCTTCTTTGTTGTTGCTACAATTTGGACTTGATAATGGCCTTTTTAGATCTTGGGCTCCATATGAAAGTTGTAGGCCTATGTCTTACCTTTCCATCCATATAAATTGGACCTAAATCTGAGATCTGTAGCTCCAGATATGACCCAATTACCGAATAGTGTTCCGGTTTGGATTGCACCGACATCTCTTTTCTAAGTTTGGCCATCTCTTTATCCTTGCAATTTAAGTTCTTCAAGTCATCAATCAATCCTTTCATTTATGTGATAGGTCTGCATTAAAAATAGACATTTACCACAAATTATAGGTATCTTATCTTATTAGATACATTATTATAAAACATATTTTAGTTTAGGAGTTATTGATACTTCAAGTGCAAAATGATGATATAAAACCATGATAAAAATACACTTTTAAGTACTAATCAACATACAACTAAGAACTTATAGCTCATATTCCATGATTGTAAAGCAAAAAATTGGCTGTAAATAACCTGCAATCATACATCATAGCTATAAAGAAAATAATGACTGGAATATAATAATAACTCCTTTCTAATTGATGTGAAACTTGATTCTATAACTTCCTGTTTCCAAAGGCCCACCTGCCATATGTCCTCTATTTGTACACATTTATATTATTTTGTTTCCTTCACTCTTCCAACATGCTCTGATGGTTCCAGCATACCAACACACCAATACCAATATACAACAGGAATAACATTCATAAATAGCATACCCAGCATAAGCAAGCACAAACAATTTACCAGCACATAGCAGTTGTAGCAGAGCAATAACCATTCACAAACAACATCCTAATACAACACCAATACAAGCATAGCCATAAGCATTCACACATGACATACAATCACATATTGTTCTAGCATAAGTCTTAACAGTCATTATAGGTATTCCTTAACATAACAACATATTATCTCTCAAGTTAACATAAGACAACACAACAATGTAATAATAATCCATGAAATGTAAAAAGGTTAGGTTAGTAATCCGCAAACATAATTTAAATTGTTTGTTCTCTATAAAACCAACACCACTCTTCATGCTTCAATCCAGCAACCTTAAGTGACATTGTTCCAATATTGGACACTTGTACATGATTTGGTAGAAAAACAAAATTTCATAGTCATTTAGTTGTTAAAGTGATTGAAAACAAAAACTACGATACATTAGTAAAGCAAAACTAACCGTAATTTAGTGTTTTCGACTTCTCTGGTATATTTTTTGAAGCCATTGATACTTCCTATCAATATCTTCGATTGAGGCTCACATCTCTCTTTTCAATCTCTTACACAAGTACTTAGTTGCAAAATAGTACAAGTCATCACCGAAAGTAAATCTGGGCATGGAATGAACCTTTATCATCACCTCACTGATACTATACCTTATCTTATCCCAACTATCATTCTTGGTGGAAACACGATCAAATAGTTCATCAAAACATGAGAGCAATCGATCACTTACTCTGGAAGGTTTTTTACTTTTCTTTGTACTTTGCACACCACATTGTTCTCTTGCTTTTCTCTTTCCACTACTATTTATAGTACTGTTATTTCTCATATTCATGCTAGCAACTAAATTGCACCCATCATTAGTGAAATTAGGAATAACATCCTCCTTCGAATCTCCACTTCCTTCCTTCAAATTTTCTTCTTCATTAACATCACCATCCGGAGTGCTTTGAACAGCAGCATCATCATCAAATAAAGATCAGGAAGATGGTGTCCAAGCGTAATGTCCAGTCGCCACAACATTGCTGAACATTAAATCAAACTTACTGTAAAGTGATGGTTCAGTCCCAGAATGTCTAAACTTTTTAGAACCTCTAATTTCCTAAAAAAGTGTATAAAACATCAAATGCATAAACTAAATAACACATGGTACATTGTTTAAGAATTATGACAAGACAAAGCAAAAAAGATAGACAAAAAAATATCAATAACTAACCTAAGCTTTTTTTGCCTACCATTCATCACTAGCACTAATAGTTTCAAGATCACTATTCCATCCTACACCTGTTTTATAAATCAATTTTTCTAAATCCTCCGATCTTTTTTAGCACCATTCTATTTGTTTTTAAGTTGAGTCTTACTAAATGCATAACCAGTTTTCTCTTTAAAAGCAACCATAACAAATCTGACCTTATCGAAATGAGTGTTTGGCCTCATTTCTCTATCAATAGCAACAATAAAAATATCATAGAATGTATGTACAATCTCTTTAGTCCAAGATGCTTTATCTGAGCTTTCAATACCTTTCATTGATAATTTTTTTTCTAATATAATTCATCAACCACACAAGGAGACATGAGCCTTTAAACTTTGTAGTAGGTATTAAAGATGTTATATGCTTAAAACTTTTACAAATTGATAATAAGAAATGTTATAATGCTGCCATCAATGCAGTTGATTTAAAAACATATCTCTATTATGTTTATGTGTGTGCGTGATAATAATTAATTGAATGACCAATCTTTAAACATGAATGAATAAATATTATGAAAGATGCAAAGAAGACATGCCATTTTCGAAACAAAGGCAATAGGGTAAGCAGTAAAGATCCATATATTTCAAACCATATAGCATAACAAGGTCCATTTATAATAACCAAATTCTCATCATTTTTAGACTCCTCAACATCAACAAATCCATATATTTCATAACATGAGGCAGAACATATTGCAAGAAACTAAAGCTAATTCAAGGAAATAATATATGCAGGTATTTCATATCATTAAACACAACAAATTACAACTAGCCGAAAGTAAATTAAATGAGAAGATATATCCAGCTCCTATTATTTGCAGACTCTCTAACATCAACAGATTTATATATTTCTTAACATAGAGCAGAATAAATTTCTTAACATAGAGCAGAACAAATTGCAAGAAACCAAAGGTATTGTGGAGAATAATGATAAAAGGGAAATTTTATGACTTTTTTTACTGTAGTCATGGTCTCAGGGAGACCTAATAGATACCTCATTTGGTTTGTGGACAGAAGCATGCACATTTTCTAGACTGGAAAATCCAAAACGCTGAGACTTATCACGAACACAAATCCAAAACGCTACCATCTATATAGCAGTTTCACCTACAATTCTTGAATATCAGACCCCATCTCATTAATTAATGTGTGTGTATGCACCATCATTCACCTTTAGATCAAAGTGACAACACAATCATGCAATAGCCTTAAACAATTTGATAATCCTATATCTACCTACACTTTAACTAGCTTGCTTGTAATTCAAACATTGCAAACTTACTTGTCTATTATGCAGTTTAGAACAGGTTGATGCAAGACATTAGGGTCGCAACTTTATCAAATGGATCGAAGCATATCTGCAACATAAGAAACATATTATTACAGGCTAATAATAGGGGAACTTCAGATCAAGCCATGGCGAACAAGATTCTGCAACCAACTAAACATAACACGTTCTAAAACCCAGTCAAAACTAATGTAAAAAACTCGGCTGAAATAAGCTCGACAAACAAGAATTCTAATTACCAAAACAATAGTTAAACCCTGTAAGAGCTAGGCATATACTCGTCTTCGAAGACGATTAATGAAGTCGATAGCAAAAGAATTAAGAGGAGAATCAAGAATGGAAAAGGCAATAGTCTTTTGTGCAATCCTAGACTTAAACATGGCAAATATTTTGAAAGCAGCAGCTAAAGACACCATTGCAATAGGAATAGTTATTCTATTAAGTTCACAACCAAGAAACATAAGAAACAAACGAACCACACTAAACAATTACCACAGCTAGATTTGAAAAACCCAACATTATCATACTTATTCGCAAACTATTCACCGTTAAAGAAACCCAGATTTTCATTCCCTCTCAAGTTTTAGTCTTTATTTTTTGGAAAGAACAATGTGGGTTTCTCTGAATTGCTGTGAAGATCGTCAAATCAACCGGTACTAGACATGAGAAAAAGAGAATTTGGGTTTGCAATTCTTAATGTTTGTTTGCCGATAATACAATAAAGAGCTAAATTTGGGTATTGCCTTCGGTTTGTACAAAGACTAAATTAATTGGGAGTTGGTTTGTACAGAGACAACATTTGTGTTTTGCAACAAAAAGCAATTGGGTTAGTAGATCAGCCAAGAAGAAAAACAGATCGCGAAGACTAAACACATGGTGGTGATATATCAAAGTTCACCGTTAACCAGTAGAAAATATCAACACTTTTACTACATGATAAAAGTAAATAAGAACTGAAGGAATGAACTTGTAACATTTCTGGATAAGCTCGAGGTGGGTGTGGCTAATCATCGCATTAATATGCTATGAGGTAGCTTTTTCACCAGATATAATCGGGTTTCTTGATCTACAAAAAAAGGAACTAAAATAACAAAGGGTAAAGGCTCGCAGATAAGAGGGTTAATGGTGAAGAAACCAACAGAAGCTTTGAGAAAATGGTTAACCAACATATTAAAATTGATTTTATAGGGAGGATAGTTTTGTCCAATAAATACAACGGTATTAAGCTACCTTAATTGTAATGTTTGGATAGGTAAAATAATTAGTTTTTCATGTGAAAAGTTGATAATTTTTACTCTTTTTTTATTTATTATCACACCACTATTTTTATGTGAGGTCTACAATTTTAGCTAAATATAAATCTTTAACTAAACAACATAGCTACTATGTTAAGAAGAACCACAAAGGCCACCACTTTCTTAAACACTCACAAAAAGTAATGGCAATTGTAATTTAACGATGATAAAATGATAAGCACACCACATGCTATTGTTAACATTATTTTTAGAGTGTGTTTTGTACTAGGCTAGTGATTATAGTATAAAATATTTTTTATTTTTTAAAAATTATTTTTGATATCAGCATACTAAAATAATTTAAAAATATTAAAATAATTATTTTAAATAATAAAAATAAAATTTAAAATATCGTAATTTGCACCATGTTTCCAAATGCATTCTTATAGGATATTTGGGAGAACGGTGAGTTGTATATTTTTTTCCAAACTCTTATTAATATTTTGTTAAAAATTAAGCATATATGAATTCCATGATAAATCCATCAGTTAATGAGAAGCATCCTAAAAATGCTTTTTCACATGAAAAAATTGATTACGAGGTAAATCAAACAATGTAATTATGGTTGTTTATTACCATTGAATTTTTGGACAAAGCTGGTCTCCCCATCAAAGTACATTGAACACCGCGACCCATCTCTCCAATTTTTTTGCCGCATTGTCTCCTTCAACCTTGCATAAGCCACCACTCTCCTTGCAAATTTGATGCAGATTTGAATTAATATCGGTCAATGAGGATACCAGCTTGCCTTTCAATTTCCTATACTTTCAGTAAAAAGTCGCGGTTGATGCCATTTTTTTTTGTGCTTTCACTAAGATGTGGTGGCAAGTTCTAGCTCCTATCAAGACAAAGAGGTAGGTGAGGAGTAAAAGTTTTGTGTTAATAGGGCCATTTGGTTTCTGCCAAAAAAAAAAAAATTCTTGTTATGATGTTGGTACTTGCTTGGTCCTCATGTATGATCTATGTTTTAAAGGCATGAAATAATTAAATTCATAGTACTTAGTTCTCCTGTAGTAAGGTGAGAAATATCATTTATAAGATTTTTTATGTGGAAACTAACCAACAAGTTCAAAATAACAATTCAATCATACACATTCATTATTACTATGCAATGTAATTGCGGATGTCGTTAGAGTTTGAAAACAAAGATGAAAATGTTTATAGATTAATTAAACATGATAGATAGATTTTATATATGATAAAATTATAAATAATTTAAAGAAATAATAAAAAATATTTTTTAAAAAGTATTATTTATTTTATAATGTAGTAATAAATCAATAATATTTTAATTAAAAATTATTTATATTAATATATGTTCTAGTCATTTTATCACTGAATCTCAATTTAAAAAGTATTTTTAACTAAATATGTTAAATTGTTTTTTATTCAATTTTAATTTAAATCATATCTTAACTAAATATATTTTTTATCAAATAAATTTTAACTAAAAATATTTTTTATAAAATAATTTTTTTCAAATCATTTCTGTAAAAACTATTAAAATGCCAAACCCATCTTAAAAGAACCGTTGGGGGCATTTCTATTCATAGAAAACATGTGATCGACCCTCTATTTAGAGTTTCTGTTCAAACAAAGATTTACTAATTTTTTGAAAAATTTTAAATTATTTTAATATATTCATATATAAAAAATAAATTTATATACATTTTTCTATTATTTGTTATTGAAAGGGCACTTTCGTTCATTACTCTTTTGCTCATCGAACGACTCGCGAGTCACAGTAGAAAAATTTTGAGAGGGTGCTTTTCATGCCGTTCATGTCATCAATTAAAAAGGTACAGTGCTTCCCTATTGCTAGCAACAAGACACAACTTAACTTATATTAGCTCAGCCCGTTTATTTTTATATTTTAAAAATATTTTTTAAAAATTTAATATTTTTAAATTTTGGATTATTTTATTATACTGATATTAAAAATAATTTTTTTTAAATAAAAAAAATATCAATTAAAAAGAATGATACATAAGTTTAATTTTAAAAACAGCAGCTTCAATATTTTTAAAACCCCTACTGAGCCCGCTTGCCGTTTTGATCAGCTGCTATAATGTTTTTTTCTTGATAGTTGGGGGATTCATTGCGTCAAAAATCTTTTTGCACAAACTATGTATCTTTCAGTAAGCCCTGCATCTATTGGTTTTGGTTTCCATCCTTCATAAGGCGATCTTGCAAGGGTGTTCGACGGTACCATCTTTGTTTCTTTTTTTAAACCTTGGTGATCTACGCTAACATGGGCACTGTGTTACAGGCCAGTTGCTCTCTCGGATGGCCAAGATTAGGTGTCCTGTGCATGCTAGGATTCTAAGCTACTAGGAAAACAAAACACTCTCTCTGCTGAAAATGATCCAGAAGCTTTTTATGTGGATTCAAGATTTTAAAGACTTTGTTCTTGGAAGATGATTAGTTTTTATAAAATCATATGAAAATTAATTTGATATAATCTGATTAACTTGGTAGGTTTAAAAACAACCTAAATAACTAGTAAAAACATAATTTAATTTAAAACAAATATTTTAAGAAGAGATTTTTTTATAAATACTGAAATAACAACCTATTGAATTGATTTACATCACTCGAGTTACTAATTAATCTTTATGTTGAGCTATAAGATCATTAAACTCATAAAAAAAATTATAAATTTAATATTAAATAGTAAAATTAAAAAAAAATCAATTAAAAAGAATGATACAAAAAATAACTCAAGTCCATCCAGATTAATATATCAAATTCATGACCTGGTTTATAAAACCATAATAATTCAATAAAAAATAAAATAAAATAAAATATAAAGTTTAATTATCAATTAGCTCAATATTGAACGATAAAATTAAATAAAATCGATTAAAAAAAAACAACTTGAGTTAACTCAGATTGATGTGCTAAACCCGTAACTTAAGTTATGAGACGAGGATAACCTTATAGATAACAAGCTGAAACAAATCACAAAGCTTATTTTGTAATCAATCTAATGTTGAATGAAGAAATTAAGAAAAACTTAATTTGAAAAAGAAAAAAAAACTGAAATCAATCGAGTTAACTTATCATTCCTATTGACTGGAATAATCTTACAAAAAAATAAAAAAAAATTATAAAATTCAATAACTAATAATCCTAATATCGAAGAACATAATTGAAATTGCAAAATCAATTAAAAAACATAAAAAACACCTCATAAGTTAAGCCATTAAACCTGCAACCGAGTTATGAAATGAAAATATCATTATAAAAAATAAACAAAACAAATTATAAAATCTAATTTTCAAATCAATTTAACAACTCAAGCTAACCCAAATTAATTTGTCAAACTCGTAACCTAAGTTATGAAATGAAAATAACCTCATATAAAATAAATCATGAAATCTAATTTTCAAATCAATACAACGTTAAGGAATAAAATTTTAAAAATATTAATTAAAAAAATGAGGTAAAATCTCAAGCCAATCCCATTAAACTTTTAGACCATGTCTAGAATAATTTCATAAAAAATAAATTAAAAATAATTATAAAACTCAATCTTAAAAAATTCTGGTATTGAAAAATATAATTAAAATTAAACAAAATACATAAATAAAAAAACACTATTCAAGTGAAATCTAGTATTGAAAAATATAAGTAAAATTAAACAAAATACATAAATAAAAAAACACTATTCAAGTGATAGTGTAAGAAGTACTGCACAATATTCAATTGAATAAAATATCGTAAGAAGTTCAGTAAAATCCTCTCATCTTTTAGTTTCTTCTTTCTTTTAATTTTACTCGAATCATGTAGAACCCAGTCTTCTTCTACATTCTCTTTCATCTCCCAAAACATGGATTCTCTCAGCCAAAACCCAGTTAAAAATTACAGACCCAGTCCAGCTATTGTGGGTTGCGATCCCAAAATCGTGAAAATATGCACTTACCTGTCGAGCTCAAATTTGGCTACCACCCCAATTCTAGACTAGATAAAAGTCACTCGTGCAGTGAAAATGAGCATGATGAGACAAAATTATACAGGATACAGCATGCCTCGAAAGAGAAACACTGTTCATAGAATGTTTTACACACGCAGAGCACATGGAAGTTCATCATTCTTACAAACAGAAGATACAACACGACGTTCAATTATTAAGCATATTGAGGACCAACACGGATTCCACAGGACATGCACCATGCATATGTAGCTTTTCATAGTGGCCCCCACGAAACGTCCTCGAGATTTTATCCAAAGGACGTGTTAATATAATGACTTCTTAATTTCAAGCTTTATCTCCCGCAGCATAAGAGCTGGTTAAGCACCGTCATCTTCCAGGCTGTTGACCCTTTCGCATTCATCAATCCATTCGCTATATCTGCATTTTTTTTAAAAACGTCGTTAGAGAAGTAGATATCAAGAGATTTTTGTCTTATTCGAAGGGAATATGAATTTCAGCTCACATGTCTATAGGCTCAGTCAAAGCTGCAAAAAACAAGGCAGAGAAGGAAGGTTAGTTCATCTCTGTTCTCCCACATCAAAAGAAGGGGAAAATATATGGATAGGAGCAAAAGTTCAAAGATATAAATAAATACTGCAGACTAAACAACCATGACTTTATAAACTGGTAAAATAATTATACATATCATTCTTGTCGAACCTCAAAGGGACAGATCATATGAAGCACCACAACCTTCGGAGGTAAAAATTAACCAGTAATGCAAGCATATTAAATATTCTTGACAGCATCACAGAATCGACTAATTAACCACATAAGAATCAAGCACCAGCTATTTCCAATGGATTTTTAATAGTAATGGATCTTCTGCAGGTTAGTAAGTCCCAATACGCTAAAAAAATTGCAAATCCAATTATCTCA